GCAGCATCTTTCTTGCTTCATCAAATATACTTGACATGTTGTAAAACCAAATTATATAGGATATTTTTGACATTCTTTTCCCAAAATGGCAAAAAAATCTAACGTTTCATTCAGTTTAGCAGTGGTCAAAATGATACATGGTATGGTACATTAGGGTTAAAAAATCTCATCTCAAATGATATTTTTTAATATTCTAAGGTACATCCATCATACTTACACAACCTTGTCATATTTGTTTATAACTCTGCAGTTATTTTCATGTATTTCTACATCATTACATCACCTTAAAACCATACAATATTGTGGCAGGAATGTGAGGTTATCTACTCCATTAATATAATCATTTAATAAAGGCAACAATATTAATGTACAGGCTTGCAACTAATATACCAACAACATCAACAAAAACCAAACCACCCATTCAAATGAATTTTTTCATTCATTTGGCATGCCTAACTTGATCATGCTGGATTTTTTTTTCAAAGATTTCCATTTAACAATCCGTGTGTATTCTAATTTTTTTATCACTGACTTTCTTTGATATGGGATGATATTCTAGAGGTAGTATCATGTTTAACAACAAATCTATGCACTTTAAGAGCTGTAATGCAATAGTACTCAATATTACAGTATTCTTTTTGGTTACTGTAATATTGGCAACCCTTTGTAAAAGAAAAGTTAGTATACCAGCCTTCCAAACTATCTTTTAAAATGACACTATATACTAAACAGGAGAAAATCAAACTATCCTTTCACTTTACCTTTATCCAGAAAAGGAGAATGTGATAAATTACTCGTTCCCCAAGTGAGTGAAAGGGTTGGGTCGTGTGACCCACTTCGGAAAAAGGGAGCACCATGCTGCAGACCTGTTGAGGGAAAATGCAATAAAAATGCAATGGTCACCATGCTGGTAGAGGTGGTGAATCATAAACATGATTTCTGTGATTTGTATTAAATGTTTGTTTCCTCTTTTGCAGGTTTAATAAAAATGATAGACTTTGTGTGTGTGTGTGTGTGAAAATTGGGGATCTAAGTTCCCTTGTTCCCTCTAAATTTCTTTCTTATTGAAATTTGTCAAGTAACTTTGAAACAATAAATCCAGGAATTTCACTTGCACAGAAACCAATATTTACTGCTGTTATTCTGATCAAATAAGAATACTACAGCAAATATCACAATATCATTAGTCTAAGAAGGGTTTTTATTCTTACTTCTGAGTTGGGATAATATGTGCATTGGGTATCAAAGAACTAAACCAAACATTAATAACACATTCCTGTTAAGAAATATAACAGAAATATACAAAAGGGACATAATCTTCAGATGAAAAAACAAACAAAACCAAAAGGGAATGAACTGCACCTTCACACTTTCACTAAATAACATCAAAGTTTAAACCATGTTATATAATGGAAATGGAACTAATCATACACAAAAAAATGTTTGTGTTTTACTTGGGTTGGAAGAGCATTCAGTTGCCATGCATACAGATGAAAATTGTGCTCAGGTAGAGTGCAACAATCTTCTACGTATTTAAGGACACAATGGAAAACTTAAGTTGCAGTAGGGACAATCCACAAGAATATAGATTGAGGGTCAGTTGGGGGTGTGTGGTATAAAAATTATCTGAATTTATTAAAAGTAAACCTTCTGTCAAAAGTGTATAAATGGACTGAATAATTATTTCTGTACAAAATGATCCAAGATTTAAATGTATATTTGTGTGAAGAACTGGAAAGGTGAGTTCCAGCACATACATGTACATATGTATATACTGAAAGATATACTGTATACAAAAAGAAATCTGTTTAATGGCAACAGGGACACTACACATTGGCACAAAAACTCATTCCATGGGTGGAACAAGTTAGAATCACTGCTATACTAGGTTATGATATATCATAAAACACACTTTCTAGGAAAAGGAGACGATCACACAATATGGAAACAAAAATCTGTTTGTATAACAATGAATCTGTGGGCAGGATTAATGACAAAAATGCTCAATCAAGATTCAAATGCTAAACATATGTAGCAACATGCCTCACAACAAATATCTTACGTCTGCACAATCGTAGCCATTCTTCCATGGCCTGTGTGCCTTTCAGTGGAATTTCTGCACAAGATAAAGCAACTCAAAGCATAATGCCTATAAACCAAATGACTTTTTTTATCGTAAATGTGGGGTATAAACAGTACAGTGTAGAATGTTTGAATGAGTAATCACTATCAAGATAAACATAACTATATATGCACATTTTGCACATTTAGATTTTAATCATTGTATATTGAAACATTTTTATTCATATGTCTAACTAAAGCCAGCAAAGCAGAGAATATTAGTAATAGATAATACTGCCGAGACATTATAAAACGGATGTATGGATAGTAAATCTGTTAGTGGTTTTGGATATAATATACAGATTGGTGATTAAGGAAAAATTTGGAAATTTTCAAGAATGTTAAAATTTTGTTAAGGAAGACCTTACATGCACTGTGTGCCTTTTAGCAATAGTAAATTTCTAGCAGTAATCCCTTACCAGGACTAGCAGGAACGGAGTCTGCCCCAGTCAAATGCATCCTTTCAGCAGATAAAAAACGCTGCAGTGGCCGATCTGAAGAACTGACTAGGAACTGACTGTAGGAAACATCCTAGAGAAAATATCCAGATGATAAGTTCATAAATAGGAAAGACATAAAAGTCAATTGAAACAATGAATTAATATATCTTTTGCACACAAATACTAAATTTTTAAAAAATTACGACTAAAAGGGACAACAATGCTCTACTTGTAGTTTGTTGATAAGGGTATAAAATTAAGGAAGGACAGCCCTTGATACAATAAAAGTTGACTCCAATTATAAAATTTGACTGCTTAATCAAGTTGCACATTCATCCCAGAACCACTTCTGATACAATCTTCATGATAAAGGGCAGATCCAGAGCTATTTTCTGACAATCTTCCAAATTAGCTTTGTTGATCCATCCTCCATTTTTGACCGTCTTCCGACAGAAAAAATAAGATAACCATCAAAGTAAACTTGAAAATCTGACTGTCTTCTGGAAGACTCAGAAGACTGCCTCTATCCGCCCCTGATTATGTTACCTGTCCATCTTCTACTTGTTCCACTGCCTGCAGCCCAAGTCCCAAGATACCTTCCTGGCTCACAGACAGAGGTCGGTTGCCAGAGTAACGCCGTGTGCGAAAAGTTTCTGTTAATCCCTCTGACCTAGAGAACGAAAATACAGTGTTGCTATCATTTTACTTATCTAAATGTGTGTTTAAAATAAATTCATTTGAGAAATACCTGATGTGACCTCAAAGAAAGACACATGAAAGACGGACATTTTCTTCTTGCTTTAACTTCAGCAAAGTTCCACTAGATCGAGGAAAACACAAAAATGCCGGTTACAAACATTGGTTAGGAACTTACTTATTTAGGATCCCTTGTTGGCTTTGTCTTGTGTATGGCAACACAGAATATGCTATGACTGGCACTTTTTTCTTGGACAGAACAATCACCCTATGAAACAAAGGAAAATACTATAATATAATAAAAATTTGCATGTGGTTTTAAACTATATATTTATATATATTTTTCAAAACTAGGGAAGAGTATTAGAGTGTACTGTTAATTAATGGACTAAAGTTAATGTGCTAAAAATCACTTTATGACTAAAATAATCATAATAATTAAATAAAAGCTAGAGAAAGAATCTATTATTTAGAGCCTAAATAGAAGATTTTTTAAAAACTAAGAATAACGAAGGCATGATAATAAAGAAATTCATATTCAAACTTTTGCAAGCAGCAAATAAGTTTGTGCTAATACTACGTAATCACCTCTCTCCCCTGAAAACTTTCTCTTTTGGCATATGATACTTGACTTCTCCTTTTGGTTGAACCACAGTGGACTCACAGTAGGATTCTGTGGATGTTGAGTTTGACCTGTGTCGAATTCTCTCTCGAGTGCGCTCCACTGAATGACCATAAAAATTTGCAAAACATGTCTCAATATATAATGCAAAAAAATACCTACCTACACACAAACAAACATGTGCGTACTTACACATCCATGTATGTGCACACAATAAACAGTATCCTGAAAAGAAGGATAAATTAACAATCCATTAACTGCATTATATCAAGAACACATATTTCTCATTCCCTTTAAATCGTAAGTCAACCTATGTTTATTAAATTAAATAAACAGTAGAAAAGTCATTTAAATGCTTTTCTTTCAAAATCTTTACCTATAAACTGACCCAATTGCTCTAGGGTAGAATTGCTTGCAGAACTTCCAGCACTTGCTGTTGTCTCTGTGGAAAATTGACTAAAGAGATTTCTCCTGGAAACTCGTTCCCTTTCGCATGAATAAGTGTGGACCCTAAAATTAAAAATCATATTATCAAAAACAATTTGAACTGTTTGACATACCTTTTCCAAATCACATCAAACAATAACTACTTTTACTGTCTGGGTTAAAATGTATAATTTTGAACAATTGGAAATGTCATATTGGTTCACATATAACAAACTGCATTTTGATTAAGTGGTCAAACTAAACTGTTTTGGAAAATATATGTTACTTACATTATTAAATGTTGCCAACACAATAGCTATTTTATCACCTTAAATGAGTCAAGTGATGTTACCTTTTTATTCTAATATATCTTAATGAGAAGACAAAGAAATGATTATAATTTTATAGTTTCTTCATAAAAGATAGTAACTATAACAGAGGAACTTACTAAGACACACAATTCACAAAAAAACATAACACAACTGTCAGTTAGCATTCATAATCCATCCATTAAATTACCATCTACTCATTAGTTGTTTTAAAAGGGCTAATGCCCTCATATCACTGCACCATAGCAAGTGTTATTGAACTTGTCAAAAGGTAGTAACATGCATACACAATATTCGGATGTGTTGTATTGTAAATAAGACAGCACCATAAAGCATGCAGATAAAACATACCCATTCAACATCAAACACACAGCTCTTAGTGAAAAAGTCACACTTCAAATAGACATCAAGCTTTCAGAACCTTTACAACGTGTAAATTGTACTTATGTGTGTAATTTAATGAACAGTTAAATCAATATCTTTTTTTTTCTTTTCACCAATAAGCAGTTGCTTAGGAGTGATCCACCCTCTTGTTCTTGATGGCCACTGTTGATGGCTTAATTTCAACTGAGGTGGTATAAGATAATTATAACGAAGAACACAAGTATGGATCTAAATTCAACAACTGCATATCAATTAACTGGAGTATTATTACACTCAGACTCATAAGTGTCATTTAACAGTATTTTGAATGTAGTAGAAGGGTAGATAAAAATGTTGACTCCTTGTAGCCCTTTACACTGACTTATTACCATTTTCAGTTTAAATGCCTTTTGAAGTACAGCAAAATGTTGAAAAGGCTACCACAACAGAACTGTGTTTAAAGAGGAACTGGATTCCTATTTTTCCACAGTCAATTGGTTGTGGTATGGGTAAGTAAACCAACATACAGACATGATGAGGCAAGATTTTGTTTAGGAAGACATTTTTAAATGAGAAAAAATATCTTCAACATTTACCAAGCAAATATGACTTTCATTTCACTGCTATCTATTTTTGTCCAAAACACTGTGGAATTCTCCAAAAGTAAAAACCATTCTCATTATGTAACTCAACCCATTTGAACCACAATAATTCTGTGTACTTAGTGCAAACTGCAGTATATAAAGAGTCAGATAAGCTTAACTGAAAGAAAGAAAAAAAAAATCACAAGAAAAACCAAGAGACTCATGTTGTGCTTTAACTGACACTGCTAACAGTGCATTAAATGTAAACTGACTGAACTGAAAGATCCAAAAGTAGGAACTCCTTCCCCCTTTCTTGCCAACATTTTCTGCTCCTTGCTAATCTCTGCTTTAAAACATGGTGCAATTTTTTAGGCATTCTTTCATCACTGCAAACATGAAGCATGCTGCTGACACTGCTGACAGTGAATTAAATGTAAACTGACTGAAGTGAAAGATCCAAGAGTAAGACAGCCACCTCCCCTTTCTTGCCCATATTTTTTGTTCCTCACTAATCTCTGCTTAAAAACATTGTGTATTTTTTAGGCATTCCTTCATCACTGCATACATGAAGCATGCTGTTGTGGGCTTGTAAACACCTATGGACTGTGTCCTTTGAACACATAATGAAAACAATACTGCAACATACCTTGTAACTGTCCTTGTAAACACAACGAAAACAATTTGTTCTACATAAATAAAGAGAGCTGCTGGTGCAGTTGAAAAAAAAATCACTTTGACGCAAAATTTCATCTTGCTCATTTAAGTTTTAAAGGTATGGTCTTTTTGCTGATGGTAGAACAACCTATTTCCAAAAGATAATGTCAAAGAAGTTTTTTGTTCGTTTGATTTTTAACAAGGTCATGCTACTCAAATTGAAATAACTACATCCAACTGTGCACAAAGGACAGAACAGCAATCCTTTATAGAGTGAAACTAAAGTGAAAAAAAAGCATTAAAGAATTAATATTATTCACACCAACAAAAATTAATTAAATCTAACTGTTAAAAACTGTTGAACACCACTCAAGTGAGTAGTCACAAGTTTACCTAGGTGAAGTTGAGTTTGGCATGTCGTCTAATTCACTGAAAGAAATTTAAAATTCAATTTCCAACATATAACTCTCACACAAACAAGACAAGTGATGTTTACCTGAAATGGATATATATATGTAAAGTGCTTAAATGGGAATCACTGAGATAACTCCAAAGTTTCATATTCAGGTGCCCATTATTTTGAAGGGTTTGGAGGAGAGTAGGAGAGTAGGAAATGACAGTCTAGTGATTATAGTGGAGCAATGAATAAAAATTGACAAATTTATCCACTTTTTTTTTTATGTTTTCTTTTAAGTTGAATTACAGTTTATTGTGCACGCAACAATAAGTGTCCCCCTTGTTTTAAGTCTCACTTTTGTATTGCTTTCTTAAAGATATTCCCAGTGCAAAGAGTTTCACCCTTATGTCTAAAAGGTTAATCCCAAATCAAGCAGATCCTAGCATTCTGGCCCTTATGATGTCAAGTTATCTCAGACGATTCCCATTGCTTATTTCATTAAGAAAATGTTTATGGCCCTTGCTTGCTCAAAGCTGTCAGCATCACTGAGAAAGGTGATTATGATATCAAAATCGTACAGCTTCTTTAGATGGGGTTCTTTAAAAAATACTGAAAAAGACGTTTGGCAATATGTGTATGCAACATACATCTTCAGTTATGTCATGTTGGGGTTATGTTTTAAACAGTGCAGGCAAGGAAGAAGAAAAAGATTAAAATACAGTAACAGTCATCTTTAAGGGAAAAAACTGTGTTCATGTGAACATCTTTGGTTTAAGGATAAAGCCGCCTGGGAAAAGATAAGGAAGAAGCTGAATGATATATTTGTTGGTTTTTCAAACCTAAACAAAGCAAATCCATAATACTGAAAATGACATCAAAGGGTGTAAGAACTGATTAAATATTTCTCTTTAATTGTTTTGCTGACCAAAAATTGCTTCAATTTGATTTTCCAAGTTACGTAAAGCCTCCAATGGCACTATATATAACATAAAGACGTAGGTTGAAGACAAAAATCCAAATGCACACCTGTGGCGTTTAGTAGGAGATATCGCGGGCACAGCGTCCTCATTCCCATCGTCATATACATCACATTTAACAGTAAATGTATTTCGCTGTGGCACTGATACCGGTGGAACCGACTGCTCCGCTTCAATTGTCGATGTTGACGATGGAATAATCGTCTCTCCACTACTTTCGTCCAATTTGGGTTCTTTTTCTCCATTCTTTTCCTTCTGTCTCTGGTTACTGCTCGTTCTAATGAACCCTCTTCTGTTGAATATTGCATATTTCGTGTCTCTGTGTGTGCCATCCAATGAAATATTCGATAAAAAGTTCAAAGCAGCGACCCTTCTTCTTGACCGATGTTTTTTCGTGGAGGTAGACATCTTTGTTTATAAACCACAGCCGTAAAAGTTCGTAAACTTCATACTTGTAATGAAGCCATGTAGCAAATTGCACTCATGGAATTCACTTAAACTGAAATTATTATTCACAATTCACAAAATGTAATCCACATGTAATTGCATCTATCATTCTCATAAAAACCTTGTCAAAACTTTGTTTCTTCTTCATCACATTTCTCCTTCCAAACTTTTAGGTAAATTCATTAGTCTCGTTATCAAATGAATTTAAAATCGAAAAAGAGACAGGAAGCAGAGTCGCCATTTTAGCACTGGAGGTAGAAGAAACATCGGTATTTTTGGAAACTGTCAAATAACCTGCCCCCGATATGGACTCGAATGTAGTAGGGTCGAATCGGGTTGTGCGGGCAAGTATGGTGGAGGGTGTCGGGGCCCGAGTAGCCCGAGGACCAGACTGGAAATGGGGCAAACAAGACGGAGGTGAGGGTCATGTTGGTACGGTGAGGAACTTCGAATCCCCCGAAGAAGTGGTCGTAGTGTGGGATAATGGAACTGCGGCTAATTACAGATGTGCTGGAGCTTACGATCTCAGAACTTTGGACAGTGCACCAACAGGTTGGTATCGAATGTGTTATTACAGAGGTGTATTTAACCTCTAAACTATATCACCTAAAATGTATTGGTCATTTTGTCAGTCTTCATTGTCAGAACTTCCTACAATTTTGGATGTATTACTGTCATTGATTACTCACTATATTACACTGGCACATTGCTGTAAAGACAATATTTGATATTGGGCCCAGTAAACTAGATTGAAACCACTGTCATCATTGTTTGCTTTTGACGACAATACACATAGAATCGTTTTATAGTTGTGTTTCTAAACATTTATGATTACCACAGTGTCTTGTTGCTTTCGTATTCCTGTTTGATTTGGTATGGGTTTAAGTCATTGCCTATAACTTTCCTGTATGTCAGATAAAGACAATTAAGGGGAATAAGCTGCTGGTTCATACTGTACAGCAGTTGTTATTAGTATCAATTACATTATGTAACTGCCTTTGCAATCACTTAGTAGCAAGAAGGGAAGCATTTTAGCAGATGGATAGCATAGACACAAAATGTTTTATCCTGACATTTTCACTTGAGTTATGTGCGCATATATCTATCAAAATTTGTCTAAGTCATCATTTTTGAAACATGAGAATGTAGTGTGGTTGTGTTTGTCATGCTGTGTGCTGTTTTTCAATTGATTGGCAGGTGTTATGGCTATTAGAAGGGGCAAATATAAAGAGGAAGTTAAAATAAAAGTATAGTATTTGACACTGTCATGATGTATTTTTGATTTTTGTGTTTGTACTTCTGTAGATTGAACAGTCATGTACAGCAGAATAACAACAAGTCTAGAGTGATTCATATTATCATGTAACCAAAACCACTATTAACAATTGGGCTTTTCTCTCCTTAAAGGCAAATTTTTAAGTCATCCAGCAGGCAATTTATGTTCTTTAATTCAAAATCATTGCCCAGGGGAAAATTCACGAGTTTTGTTATTATATTAAACCTAGACCTGTCTAAGGTAAACTTAAAGGTGATGTGAATGCAGCTTTTATTAGTTTGCTGTACATATCACCTGCTTAACCAGGTGTCACCTGCTGGTGTGATTGTTGAATTGTCAGGTATGTGACAGACACTTTGTCCACTGCAGCAGGACATACAATTAAACCTTGTATAACACTTACATTTCACCTTCAAATCAAGGTAAGCCCAGATAATGAAATGATACTGTGTAGGAGGATTTTACTAATTATAACCTGTTAGAGAAGTGATCTGCAATATATTAATTTTTTTCAGATAAATAAGCAGTCAGTGAATAGTTTTGCATTAATATAAATTTTAAGGAGATCTCTTATTTTAGGTCATGCCCCATATGCTGTTAGTGCTGAAGTCAGCTAAAGAGAGTTTTTATGCCCTTTGGTATATGGACAACAAAATAATCCTAGACTGTAATGATAATAATAATAATAATTATTATTATTAATTTTTAAGGAATCAAGCATGATGGAACCATGTGTGACACCTGCCGGCAACAACCCATATTTGGGATTCGTTGGAAATGTGCAGAATGCTCGAATTATGATCTGTGTTCAGTCTGTTACCATGGAGACAAGCATAATCTCAGGCACAGGTTCTATAGAATTAACACACCAGGGAGTGAAAGGTGATTTAAACATTCCCTACTTTTTTATTATTAAATGATGAAAGTAAATTGAATGTAATTAAGTCTTGTAGTGAATAGATGTTGTGTGTAATTTGGTAAAAAATGTGTTGCAAAAATGTCAAATATCGTTGATGTTTGATGGTTAAAGTACCTGGAGCATGAAGTAAATAGAAATGATACTGTGACTATGCACTTAATGTCAAATGACTGTGACAATTAATTGACTACAATATTTTGATAACTGGTTCCTTAACTCAATACAAGCAGCTGGGGTCAGTGATATCTTAGTACACACAAATGGTCATTTGTTTATTTCAGAGTTTTGGTGGAACCTAGGAGGAAAAGTAAGAAAATCACAGCTAGAGGGATATTTCCTGGAGCTCGTGTTGTGCGAGGAGTTGACTGGCAGTGGGAAGACCAAGATGGAGGAAATGGAAGGAGAGGAAAAGTTACTGAAATACAAGTAAGACATTTTTACCATCTGATGCACCTCAAAATATTCTCTCAAATTCTAGTATCTGGTAGAAGCATGTTGTTTTCAGTTTTACCTAGTCAATATAGATTTTTTATCTTAGACCCCCCGCACCCGTTCAACAACAACAACAACAAAAAAATCAAAACTCTCCACAATATAGACTTAATTCGTCTAACTGTTATATCAACTAGTTTTTGATTCTGGATTAGATTATTTTGTGTCACTTAGTTACTGTATTTTATAAAAGTGTTGACTATCTTATGTTCAGGACTGGAGTGCAGCAAGTCCTAGGAGTGCTGCCTATGTCATCTGGGATAATGGTGCCAAGAATTTATACAGGGTTGGATTTGAAGGAATGGTAAGTATATATAAGTATTAAAGTAATTAATATAATAATTACTCAAAAAGTGTTTTTAAAAACTTGTATACATTTGAAAAAGATGACTAGTGGTATTACTCTAATTGTACATTGTTTTGTATTCTCTGCCTTTTGTAGATAATATAATACACAAGACATGCATTTATGGAATTGAAATGCTGGAAATCTTACTACTTCATATTATGTACCATCATGCCACTTTTAATATTGCTTGATGGAAAGGCTGTAATGGTAAAGGCTTCAATTGTGTAAATCAATTTTTGAACATATTAAATTATAAATGGTTTTTATGCTTGCAAAAAATGCTGTTTATTAGGAAGCTATTTAATTCAAAATGTTGTTTCAGGCTGACCTTAAGGTTGTCAATGATGCCAAAGGAGGGTCTTTCTACAGAGACCATTTACCTCTGCTAGGTAAACTGCTATTATATAATCCTCAGTGATATGTCTCAATATTTGAAAAATAATAAGAGCCAATATATGTACAACAAAAATCAGACCACCACAACCACCACTGTAAAACAAATGATGTGCCCTGATTATACTCATTTCAACAATGTAGAACCCATATTTACAAATAAAATCTTACATCACTACAAAATAAGGCAATATTGTAAAGAAACATTCCAACCTCAATTAGGTGAAGCAGGTGCTGGGTCAAGGTCGGGTGCTAGTGGGTTTGCCATCAATGATCAAGTCAATGTGGACCTGGATCTAGAGATAGTTCAGTCCTTACAGCATGGACATGGGGGCTGGACAGATGGGATGTTTGAGGTAGAGTTCTTCATCAATTTTTCTTTGCTATCACCATTTTAATCAACATTGTGAATTGAATTATGTGTAATGTATGGTAATTGCTGTATCATTGCATTGTTTCAATGTTTTTTTTTCATGCATAAACTATTATATCAGGGTATTTGTTGATGCAGTTCTTTTTATCATGACATGAACTGGTCAGGGTAATTTTGAATCTCATGGAGGATTTCTTGGATTTGGGCTAACCTTTTTAGGTGTTTAGCTTGAATATATTCCTACAGCAAAAATTAATCAGATATTCCTTCTCCATAGTGTTTGGGAACAACAGGGACAGTGGTAGGGATAGATGAGGACCATGACATTGTTGTGTCATATCCAAGTGGAAATAGGTAAGCAATGTCATTATTGCACACATTATTTATATATTGTGATATATGGTCACTTTAGCTATTTTTTTTTACTGAGTGACACATTGAATTTGAGGTTTAAGGCAGAAAGGGGAAATTATTGGTGTGAGGTACTCCTTGTATTTTATTTTGCTTTCAACAATGCCAGCCTTAATTTATTAATCTTTTCAAAACAACATTGATATCAGAAAAATTAAGATATGAATTTTTTTTTTGTGTTTCAGGTGGACATTTAACCCAGCAGTTCTTACCAAGGTGAATACCATCAGCTCCATATCTGCTTCCACAGAATCTGTCAACACCAGTTTGCAGTTTGCAGTGGGTGACCTGGTGCAGATCTGTAGTGACACAGAGAGGATCAAAGTATTACAGAGAGGGCATGGGGAATGGGCTGAGGCCATGATGCCAGTAAGTCTGGATGGTGCTTTCAAAGTCTTTCTTGCTCCAGCAGTGGTGCAGAATCTAAAGAAAAAGATAGGGGTGACGTGTTGAAAATAATGTGTGATGATCTCACCCTTGTTGAATGTTAATTATAATTTAACAGTTTTGTTTATTTCAGATCTGAAAAGATCCAAGTTCTTGTTTTCAGTTTTGGCTGTTTTTTTCCAAGTGTATCATACAATTCTTTTTACCTTTCAATCCCTAATTAAAAAACTGGCCTTTATAAAATTGACAATGTTTTCATTTACTCCTGTAGACACTAGGCAAGATTGGCCGAGTACAGCAGATCTATCATGACAATGACTTGAAGGTAGAAGTGTGTGGGACATCATGGACATATAACCCAACAGCTGTAACCAAAGTGGCATCTGCAGATGGAGCCACTGTAGGAAACTCTTCAGGAGGTGACTAATTCAAGTTTTTAGATGAATGCATTCTTTGCTGTGAATGAATGCCTAATAAAGAATAGCCGTGACCCATTTATACATATATAAGCTAACAATATCTTAAGCTGTTCCATGTTGCAATGTGAAATGGAAAAATTGTAATTGTTATGAAGAGAAATCATTATTTGCTAATAGTGGCATCACTTGCTAGTGACAATGATCCGGGAAGGGGGGATAACAATTTACTTGAGAAATGACGGTATATATGTTGGCATCATCATAACATTTAATTTAAATCTGTATTATTCTTGCTCTCATTTTAACAGAACGTTTGAGTGCTCTGTTGAAGAAGTTGTTTGAGACTCATGTGTCAGGAGACATAAATGAAGAGTTGGTGAAAGCCGCCGCTAATGGTGATGCTCAGAAGTGTGAAGAGATTCTGCAGAGGACAGAATCTGATGTGAGTCTGCCAAATGTACGTTCTTTTTATTATTTAGAAGTGTGATATTGAAACTGAAAATATTAATGTAATTATCTGTTTGGTTTTCTGGGGGTTTTACTGGACAGTATGGATGGCCCAACTTGATCATGTGCTTTATCTTTGTTTTGAACAAAATTTTAAGTTTATATAATGTTTGGTGGATGAGCAAATGTTTGTGTAATTTTTAATGATAAAAAGAGGTACAGATTTGTATAAATAAAACAATTTAACCTGTATATTTTCACAACTAGACTGTTTCTGCAATATGTTTATTGTTTTATTGATTATTGCAGCCCAATGGAGTATTTGCTGGACACACTGCACTACAAGCAGCATCCCAAAATGGCCATGTTGAAGTCATCAAGACACTGATGAAGTATGACTTGGATATGGAAATAGAGGTATAAAAATGAGGGTGTGCCAAGGTTAAGCATTTCAATCTAAGCATTACTTTGAAAATTGACCAAATAAAAGAATGAGAAAGATTAAAGATGGTACTTAAAGTTGAACATCTGTTGATAAGTTATGATACTAATGAATTTCCCGAATTGAAAACTTCTTTTGATTGATGTTGGTACTGCAACTGAAGAAAAGGGGGTTTTGTAAGTAGTAGGAATGTAATTATTTGGGAAAAAGACTGTATTCTTGTTGTCACTTCCTCGTAGGACAAAGATGGTGACAGGGCTGTGCATCATGCAGCATTTGGTGATGAGCCGTCAGTGGTTGACATGCTCCATAGAGGGGGTGCTGATCTCAATGCCAGGAACAAGAGGAGACAAACTCCACTCCACATTGGGGTCAATAAAGGTCACATCGGTGTGGTGAAAATGTTACTGGAGCTGGGCTGTCACCCTAGCTTACAGGTGAGGTGACCCATTAATATACTGTGGATAACAACCAAGGTAAAAGTAAGTTTATGAAAATTATCTAGATAGTATATTTTAATATTTTAACATTTTTTACCTGATTTAATTTTGTCAGGATTCTGAAGGCGACTCGGCTATTCATGATGCTATCAGCAAGAAGAGAGATGACATGATCAGCCTGCTGCTGGAGTATGGTGCAGACATCACGCTGACCAATAACAATGGCTTCAATGCTTTACACCACGCAGCTCTGAGAGGAAATCCCAGGTAAGGAATATAAATAAGCATGTGGGGGATCTTACTGAATGAGTGATAAGGACTTGTGTATTGTTACATGTATGTTTGAAGTCAAATTTATTGTATGTGAAATTTATTTTTGTTTGGGTCATTGGGTAATAGATGCTGCAAGAAATATGTGGAAGAGTTATATGTTGTGGTGTGAAAAACTGACTACATGTAAGAGAGGTTGTTAGAAGTGAAAGCTGGACATGTGCATATGAAAGGCTCCAGAGATGGGGAGAAAATGTGGTTGTTGAGATGTGATTGCTTCAAGTCTGGAATGATTAAACTTTCGGCATTCGGAAATGCTGTAGAGGAGATTGCATTGTCATTATGCAGTGACTGTAATCTTTGTATTGTGCGATACTCTTCAATGTTCGCGGCACATCCAAAAGTTTTTTTAGCAGCTGTTTGAGACATGCATATTCAAATGCTACCTGCTAATATTATCCATTGTGACCATCTCAGATGAAAGCTGAAGAGAGGCAATAAAGGAAAATCAAGTAAGTCTGATTTTATGTATGTTCCATGATTTTTTTAGACTACTACTGTTGCTCTTATCACCTTTATGTATATATGTGTAGTTGTGTGTGATTGATATAATCAAATAAACCCCTTAAACGGTATGCTGGAATATTCAAGATGCAAGTTGGTGCTTTCGTTTACAAAAATGACTAATTGCAAATTTGGAGAGAGAGGATGTTTTTATAAGCCTTGCAGTATGGCAATCTTTTAAATTTTTTTTGTGAATTCAGGTGCATTATGTGTATTGTCTAAAATAAGTTGAATAATTTTGCAAATAATAAGTTGTAAGCAAATAAAAACAAAAAAAATGTAAATGTTATTTAGTTCATTCTAGTGTTGATGCAGGGCAAATCAGTGTTAAGGCATCTTACATCAGATACTGTATGATACATGTATTATATAACTGCACTAGATTAGGCAGTACCTCAATTTATTACCCATTTCTAAAAAGGCCAGAGTTAAGTGATATATTTGGTTGAATCACCCTTGTGTAATGTTAAGGAAGGCTATGACGCACCATGTTGCATGACTTCTTTCTTGTAGTTCTCTTTTTCTGAGTGAACAGATTGAATGGAGATAAGACCAAAATGTATTTGTAATTTTAATACTAAATATCTTTGAAAAAAGGACAAGGTTCACATGTTGACTGTCATAGTATATTTTGTATGGATGAAGAAAGTCTCACAAAAACATGAAGTTTTTACTATATAATATTTAGTACAATTGTCATTAGAAATATCTTCCCAATATCTGACTAAGCTGAAGTATGGGTGGATATTGGAAGAGGACGCATAAAGATATTTGTGGTGTGACTTCTTGGATTAAGTGTAATAATGATTAATGCATATCTCCCAATTTATGTATCTAAAATTCTGCAATAAGTGCATGTGGAGACTTGGAAGATAATTCTTATGATTTCAGTTGATGAGCTTGTGTTTTATATAGTTTTTCCGTTGGCTTGAGGCCCATAGTTAAATCATGATGATCAATGGACCCAGGGCATGCAGGTCTGTGTGGGAGGGCCCAAGCTGGGAGAATTAATACAAAATGTGTTCCCCAAGGCTACATTGGATGGAAATCAGTTGCTGTTACAAGAAATTATTCATTGACTTCAGTATACCCCAGCCTTGTCATAAAACTGCTGTGTATTGTTAGAATTATTCCGGTTTGGTTTGTTGTCAATTTGAGGGTGGGTTACTCAGCTTCATTTTTTGATTAAAAAAAAAAACAGCCCTGTCAGCATATTATTTTACTCGAAACTCTCTAAAAGGCTTGTATCGACAAGGCTGCGATGTGGTGATTTGCGGTCCATTTGTTATCCTCCGGAAAGTTCCAAGTTTCCTGGTAATGGGCTTAATATTGTTCACTGGGGACCCTCTAGAATCAATATCAAACAGGGAAGCTCTGTGTTGTCTGTTACTTTGTGGAGGATAGAATATTTACTGGTTTATAATAAGAAGACCATTATTGATTGGTTTCTTTTTATTTTCTGCATATTAGCCAGTATTTGAAATTTGATGCCAAAATTTGCAATCTGAAAGAATGTGTAAGTAAGCATTGTATTCCCTGAAGATTGTCTGAGACATTTTGGTCGAACTATATTTTTCTCTGATAAATGGCAATAGCATTTGTGAGATACATTTAGATTTATTAGTACATCAGAGCAACTGTTACCCGATAAGATTATAGAAATGAGTTCTGTACTCCAGGCAATTTTTTTTTATGAAAACACAGGTTAAGTTTTAGAAATATAAATATGATGGAATACTATGGTTTTTGCCTAAAATACAGAAGTTTGCATATTTTTCACTGAATAAAGGAAGCATCTTTGGATTGATCAATCTAAAAGGGTCTTTTTAATATTTTTCACTTGATATTTAACATTAATAAAAATCAACCCAACTCCGCAGGGACTCACGCAAAGTGCAATCATCTGAATTACATGACATAGTTGCTTTTGTTTCCAATGTAGTCGTATAATCACCAGTTTTTCTGTATTCTACTTAACACCAGAAGGAGACGTGTATATCTCTTAAGCTGACTGCACTCAGCAAGAATCCCCACAGAGTAAGGTCATTCCACGTAGACCTATGGTATTTAAAAGAATACACCCTCAAATTACAATGGCCCTTAGTCTTACAGTTCTAAATCGAAAACATGATATTTGGTAAAAACTGGCTCAAACTGAGTTTTAGATAGGTCTGCACTCCACTATGAAACAAAAAGTCGTCACAATATCGATTGTTTCTGTCAGGGAGTAATGGCTTCAGTTCAGAAGAAAACACCAGTGCAGCAGTGTCCTGCCAGGGATTTGAAATAATAATCCCTCTCTGTTGTCCTCCCATCATTCAAAATTGAGATTATTAGGGACACATTGGTGAGGTCACACTGAGGCAAGATTGTTGGAACAGATACTCTTTGATAATTACATGATTTTGGTGAAATAGTAGCAAAGTTATCTTCAACAAAAATGGCATTTTTTTTTTTTTTTGACAAACTATCTAGTCAAGTTGCAAGTTTTCTATAACTTCATGAAATGGTCCATTTTATGGATCATCCATACCGGCATTTTTTTCAGGAAAATGGAATAGTTGATCTTCAATGATTAAAAACCAAGAAAATGTTTATTTAAAACTATATATATATATGATTTTGCATAGATTTGTAACCAAACTGAACTTAATTTGCACAGAATTTTTTAGATAATGCACAAAAAATATATACTCAGTGTCATTGATACAGAAGAATTAACTAAAGAAAAAATAGGGAACAATAGGTTTAGATAAACTGTTTTTTTTATTGACAATTCATACCATATGTACAAATCAGCATCATAAAACATTGAAGTCCCATGAAATACAGTAGTATAAATATGTTCATAGGTACTACGTCATCAAAAAGTAGATCTAAATGATTTAGTATTGATCTTGTGATCTTAACATATCACATGATAAAGTTAAGTGATCATAAGACAAGGCATGTGCAAAATGTATCATCTACCATATGGAAAAGATAACAACTTGGTCATGGCCCGCTTTTTAATACAGACATTGATGTAACCCACTGTATTTACTAACATGTTAAGATGAAATATAAGCTATTGTAGGAGCCTTTTAAAATAGTGACATAGTGCTCACTTTTTCTTGTGGATC